CACAGGGTGGTGTGCTTCCTCCATGTGGGCTTTGTTGCTTCTCAGCTAGATAGGCCCTTATTTACCTTCCAGCTTTAAGACCACAGATGCTATATTTTTTGATAGCCAGGTACCATCAGCTTTCTTCACCACATTTGCATATGCACCCATTTTGGCTACAGGGATCGTGTCAGGGAAAGTGAGCATCCCAGAATGCTGGATTATTAGAACAAAGTGTTCTTGCATTGAGGGAGTACTTGAGTTGAGGCCCAATGTCCATCTGCAACCTTAATACTTAACATATAAATACATGAACATAGATCTATTTCCCCACTATCCTATATAAATATATTCATATATGTACATGCCTATATTTAGACCTCTATATAAGTCCTTTGTTTCCTAGTTCTTTTCTGTATTTCCTTTTACTTTCCTCTTGTCCCCCTATCATGTTCGGCCTTCATTAGGGTTTCAGTAATTCCTCACAGTAATGTTGCCGTTGATTAAGCTCCACCATGCATCCTACCCCCTTTTCTCCATCAATTTTAGTTCACTTGTTGTTCCCTTGTCCCTGGGTTGGTTGACGCCCCTCTTCCTTTTCCCACCACCCCCTCTCCTGTGTTGGCCCGGAACCGTCAGTCTGGGTGTTGTTTTCTCCTCCAAATTATTTATCCCTCCTATCTTATCTAGATAGACATGCAGAGACAATAATAAGCACAAAAACAAGACCAAGCCAAACAAGACAACAAAGGAAGACAAAACAAAATAACAACAATAACAATAAGGAAGCCAATGACAAAAAAGTTTCAGGTCTGTATTTTGACCTTTAGGAGTGGTTTCCAGTTGAGTCTGATGGGGTGCTACACTGTCTCTAAAGTCTATTTTTGGTATTCTCCAGGGACTTCATAGCTTTGCTCCCCTTGCTGCTCTGTTGCTTGCCCTTCGTGTTTTGCCCCAGTGTGATGGGTTCAGATCAGGTACAATTCACGCACTGTGTCTCCAGTGTTGTCCCCCATAGGACTGTGGTTCTGTGAGGGATGTCGTGTCTCGTTGGGGCTGGCCCTATGGTCCTCTCCGTGCATTGGCTGCTTTGAGCAGGAATATCATCTTCAGGGCTTGGTGGGCCAGGATGTGTTCCACTCAACCTCCTTCCTCTTTGTTTGTTCCTGTGTGCTCTGATCAGACGTGCCCTTCTTCCCAAACTGTGGCTTCAGTGCTGTCCTCGAAAGGACATTCTTCTGGGGGAGGGGGCGCAGGGGGGGGTCCACATAGTTAGGGCTGGCCCCGAGGAGACTCTATTTTTGTCTTCAGCAAACAACTGGTCTATTCCAGGGGCTGATGGTGTGTGTGTGTGTGTGTGTGTGTGTGTGTGTGTGTGTGTGTCTGTGTCTAGGTGGGTGAAGTTGGTGAAGAGAACTTTACATCTGATTCATAGAATTAAGAATTGTGGAATCCAGATTGGATGATCCCTTCAGGACCAGTGGTGCGAGTGGTGATACCGGGAGGGTGGAGGGAGGGTGGATTGGAAAGGGGGAACTGATTACAATGATCTACATATAACCTCCTCCCTGGGGACAGACAACAGAAAAGTGGGTGAAAGGAGACATCGGACAGTGCAAGATATGACAAAATAATAATTTATACATTATCAAGGGTTCATGAGGAAGGGGGAAGCAGGGAGGGAGGGGGAAAATGAGGAGCTGATGCCAGGGGCTTAGGTAGAGAGCAAATGTTTTGAGAATGATGAGGGCGATGAATGTACAAATGTGCTTTACACAATTGATGTATGTATGGATTGTGATAAGAGTTGTATGAGCCCCTAATAAAATGATTAAAAAAAAAAGAGCTCCCAATAAAATGATTAGAAAAAACACAAAAAAAAAAAAAAAAGGATTGTGAAGGCTCTCTTCTATGGGGAAGACTATGCAAATGGGGGGCGGGGGGAGGGCTCACTGTCAAAGTTGGTCTTTTCCTTGGCTGGTGGATGGCTTTGGGAGAGCTAAGAGAAGCTCATTGTCATCTCCACTGGATGCACAGCATAGCATGTTGGGAGGAGTCCTTTGAGACCAATGGATACTGATTCTTGTAAGGCCGTGTCAAGTCCAAGTGGCAGAGGCACATTAACATCAGAGAAGGCTTCTGCTAATAAACCCCATTAACCATCCTTTTTCAGAAGAGAGTCAGAACTTGGTTCACCAAAGCAGAACCAAGAATCATCTTGAGAGAAGTCAAGAGAGGATGACCAGGTGCTCATGCCATTAAAGCTACTCATTTCCTCTCACATGATTGCTGCTGACGGTCCCAAACAAGACAAAGCAAACTCACTGCCATAGAGTCCACTTTGACACATAGCAACCCTACAGGGCAAAATCGAGCTGCCCCCATGGGCTGTACATCTTTAGAAAAACAGACTTCTGCAGCTTTCTTCTGTGGAGGGGCTGATGGGGTAGAAGTGCTGCCCTAACTCTTGCACCCCCAGGACCCTTGTGTAAGGCCAGCGTTCACATGGTCAGTCATCAGTCACCCAGGCCATGGGGTCCATTCTGACTCACGGGGTTTCCAAGGCTGGCCATCGTTATGGGAGCAGAACGGTCCCTTGTTCTCCCCCAGAGCCAACAGTTAGCAGCCTGACTTGCACCCCGCTCTGCCACCGGGGCTCCAGGTAGCCTGTGAACCGAACCAGTCACTCCCGTCGAGTCGATGCCTCCCCAAAGAGACCCCATAGGGCAGCGCTGAACTGCGCCTCTGGGTTCCTGAGGCTGTAATTCTCTCTGGTGTTAAGATGCCTCGTCTTTCTCCCAAACCGCAGCTGGTGGTTTTGAATTGCTTACCTTGCAGTTAGCAGCCCAACCTGAAACCACCACGGCAGCCACCAGGGCTCCCAGATAGCCTCCAACTATCAGAGTCCAAACCCGAGCCCTTCATCCCAAGTCACTCCTTTTGCCCCATCATGCCTCTGCTTTTGTTACAGGGAGGATGCCCCCTGTAGACTGTTTCCAAGGTTAGATTTTGGCTGCATTGGGCCAATGGGAGACAGTGGGTGGGAAACTGGAAGACAACGAGGGTGTTGAATCCTAACACCTGTATTTTGTAGGTGGCAAATGCAGTTTGCCATTATCTGCTAACCTAAAGCTTGGTGGTTCAAATCCAACCACTGGTACCACAGAAGAAATGCCTGGCAAGCTACTTTGGTAAAGATGTGTTGTTGGTAGGTGCCCTTAAGTCAATTCCACACGGTCTGTGGTTCAAGCCCACTATCCACTCCTCGGGAGAAAGAGGAGGCTGTCTCTTCTCATAAGGACTGGTAATCTCGGGAACCACATATAGGGTCCCTGAGTCAGAATCAGCTCCATGGCAGTGGGGTTTGGGGTTAGTCTTTATGGGACCAGACTGCCAGCTCTTCCTCCAGCAGAGCCCTTGGGTGGGTTCAAAGCATTGACCTTTGAGGATTGACTCCACAGCAGCTGGTGTTTTGCACATTCATCCCAGCTTCATGAGCATAGCAACCATAGTTCTTGTCTGTGTTGATCTAGATCCTTCTTGACTACCCCCAGTTAAGACAATTTTCACTGTGCAGGGAGCACCCTGCCAGTCTCTTAGCCTTTTCATCCCTCTTGCTTCTCCACCCAGGATTCCATGTCCTGAAGGCTTCCTGGGAGGCTGATGGCATAACCATGTGAACATTGGCTTTACACAAGGAATCCCTGGTGGTGCAGTAGTTATGCGCTGCAGTTCGAACCCACCAGCCCCATCCATAGAATAAAGATGCGGTAGTCTGTTCTCCTAAAGATTGACAGCCTAGGGGGCAGAGAAGAACTGTTTCATTGGGGTTTCAAGGCTGTAAATCAGCCTGGAAATGGGAGAAAAAGTGTTAGCAGTCTACTTCTGTAAAGATGTACAGCCTTGGAAACCCCGTGGAGCAGTTCTTCTCTGCCCTGGAGAGTTGCTTCTTGTCTGAATGGACTTGACAGTGTATCCACCACCACGACTGTACCCTGGTGGTTAGCACCTGGCCTTTGCTCCCTGCCTCTGCGCAGGCCCCATCCTGGCTGGGCTAGGACCCTGGATTCCTGATAGCAGAGTTAGTTATAAACACCCAGAACCTGGAGCTAAAACAGAGTGAGAGGGCTCTCCCACCAGCTGTTTGCAGGTCCAAGCACAGGTGTTTGTGTGGGTGAGCACAAGGTTTCCAGGCACGGCTCCCCGGCAACGTGAGCGATGCTCCTAATCAGACAACAGCAGCGGAGCTGGAAAGGTTAGGGATGCATGGGTGGTGCTCAGCGCAGCCAGGTGAACTTAAAAGTGCCTGCTTCTAGGTGGAAGGTGCGCATTGACAAGATTTGAAAAATGGGAAGGGCCTAAGTGGAGCAGAATTGGCAGGAGAGTGGAACGGGTTTCCTGCAGGGAATGGAGCTCCCAGGACTTGGAAGCAGAGAAAAGCTAACAGGGATGGCGGTTTTCAGGGCTTGAAGGCCCTAGGCTCGGGAGCAGAGGGTGGAGAAGGAGCAGAGGAAACATTCAATCCAGAGAGTCTGCTTAAATGGGCAACTATCCTGGACCTGCAGGATTTGAACTGGATTGTGACCCTCTGGCCTCCTCAGGACTGTCCTAGGTAGCTGGTTACTGCTGCGGTAACCCGAGGAGCCAGAAGTAGATGACTCTGGAGAGCAGAAAATGTATGAGAAAATGTTTCGCACAGTCCTGGGGCCTAAAAGTCCAAATGAGGGTCTTCGTCATATTGATTCCTTCCCTTGTTTGGAGACATCCTCACAAGGAGCCCAGGAACCGCTGGGGCCACTGAAGCTTACCCATGGCCCTTGAGGACGATGAGGATCCTGTTTCAGCAGGTGCACTGGAACTGGGCCTTCTGCTTTCCTTGAGACTCCCCTGCCTTTGAAACACCCCCGTCAACTCCTCAGAGAACCCCGGGAGCCAGGGTCATGCACCAACTTGGGGTCTGGGCATCCAGCTCAGAGCAGTGCATTTACTTTCCCTCCTACCTTATTTCCCCCACTCCACAGGTTGATCTTGAGCGCACCTTCACATTTCGCAACTCAAGGCAGACCTACTCAGGGATTCCCATCATTGTGGCCAACATGGACACCGTGGGGACGTTTGAGATGGCGGTGGCGATGTCCCAGGTGAGATGGCTGCCTTTTTATCCTGCTTGGCTGTTCACGGGCGCTGTGCGTCAGAACCCACTGGACGGCAGCTCACCACAGCTGCGTGTGGACTGCCAGGCTGCTGGCAGCCCACAGGAGGTGTTCAGCTACAGGGAGGCGAGGATACGTGAGACGCATTGGGCCATTCTCTATGGCTGAAACAGAGAACTCTGGACCCAACGGTTCCCTCCTCCCTTTATTTCAAGCCAGCAATCGGGTGGTCCCCAGGCTAGTGAGAGGACCTGGGTGAGCCTGCATTTCTCCCTTGAACATGCCTATTGAGAAACGGCAGGTCGACATCAAGAGGAGTACCAGACTGTAGAGAGGTGGTGGCGGCTGTATCAGGAAGACAGGGCTGCCTTGTGAGGTGTTGGTGGTGGATAGGCGCCATCGAGTCAGTTCCGTCCCCTCGCAACCCTCTGCGCCACAGCAGGAAACACGACCCTGTCCTGCGCCAACCTCACAATTGTTCCCGGGCCTGAGCCCACTGTGCCAATCCATCTCGTTGAGGGTCTTCCTCTTTTCACTGCCCCCCACTTTTCCAAGCATGATGCTTTTCTCAAGGGACGGTCTCTCCTGACAATATATCCAAGGATAGAAGACAGAGTCTTGCCATCCTTGCCTCCCAGGAGCACTCTGACCGTCCTTCTTCCAAGACAGACTTGTCTGTCCTTTTCGCAGTCCGTGGTACTTTCGGTCTTCTTCTCCAACGCCATCATTCAGCTGCATGGATTCTGCTTTGGTCTTCCATGTTGAATGTTCAACTCTCACATGCATATGATGCAATTGGAAATATCATGGTGTGGGTCAGGCACACGTGAGCCCTCAAAGTACCATCCTGGCTTCTCAATGCTCTAAAGAGGTCTTCTGCAGCAGATTCACCTAGTGCAACACATCCTTTGATCTCATCACTGCATATCCAAGCGAGATTGTGAACATTTTATTGCACGGCATTTAGTGCTTACTTGGTAGCTTCAGACCTCGACTCATGGTGATCTCATGCCCCCCAGAATGAAATACTGCTTGCTCTTGTACTCTCTGAGATCCTTTGCAGTTCAGACTACAATGATCCACAGGGTTTGCATTGACTGATTTGAGGAAGTAGGTCACCAGGTCTTTCATCCTCACGCATCGTAGTTGGGAAGCTCTGCTGAAAACTTCTCAGCGTCACAGCAATACCGGAGCCTCCCTTCGCTGATTGAGGGGTGGTTGGTTGCGAGTTCAGTGCACTGGCCATGAATTGAACTCGAGGCTTAGGCTTGGAAGGCAATAATTCTACTGCCAGTGTTCTCATTCATAATTATTTAGAAACCATTTTTGAGCACCCAGGTGCCAGACACCATGTACAATTTAGCTCTTAACTCTTATCACAACTCCATAAGATAGGTTCCTTTAACACAGCGATTTTGAACCTGTGGGTTGAGACCCCTTTGGGGGGGGCGGCGAACGACCCTTTCATAAGGGTCGCCTGATCCATAACAGTAGCAAATTGACAGTTAGGAAGTAGCAATGAAAATAATTTTATGGTTGGGAGGTCACCACAACATGAGGAACTGTACTAAAGGGTCACAGCATGAGGAAGGTTGAGCACCACTGCTTTAACAGATGAGGCTCAGAGAGAGACCTGACTTGCCCCGAGTCAGGAGCCAAGCGTGGACTGCCTAACTCCAGCATCTACGGGATTTGCTTCTCACCGTGTACTGACCGAGAACAACCTTGAGGTTGAAGAGTGCTCCTGCTATTCAATGCCCAGAGTTGTTTCCTACTGAGGGAAGCTGCTGGTATCCTGGCCTTGGACCAAAAAAAGGAGAAGCCCTTTGTCTGCAGGGCCCTCACTCGGCAGAGGCACCGTGTCTGGGGCACACAGCATAGTATATGCATCATAGACACAGTTTGCTGTGATGTGCACAGGGCCACATGCACTCTGTGCTGATCAGGCCTGCCAAGTGAAAGGATAAATCTAATTAGTCGCAAGAGCTTCTCACTGTGTGAGCAGCAAGTCTAACCACGGGAGGCACTGGGGCTCTCCAGTACCCAGGGATTTCAAGGGAAAGAGTGTCAGGCAAGTGATGTACTCTAACATGGAGCTCTGAGGTGGTCAATCTCATAGGCTCCCTACTCTATTTGACCTAATGCCCGTTTTTCAAGAGAAAAAAAATTACTCAGCGCCCCCTGGCCATTAAAAATGTTGGTATATATTCAGGATATAGAATACCAGGATATAGATGTAGGGTATAGAATATATATAGGATCCAGGCTATAGAATACCAGAAAGCAGAGACTAGCAGAAAGATGTTTACTTGTGTTTCATTGTCTATGCAAAGACAGTAGACAGTAGGGACCATAATAAACTATGGATAACCTTGAGAATGATGGGAATTCCAGAACACTTCTTTGTGCTCACACTGAACGTGTACGTGGATCCAGAGGCAGTTGTGAGAACAGATCCGGGGAATATTGCATGATTTAGAATCAGAAAAGATGTGCGACAGGGTTGTATCCTCTCACCATACTTATTCAATCTGTATGCTGAGCAAATTATCAGAGCAGCTGGATTCTGTGAAGAAGAATGTGGAGTCAGGATTGGAGGAAGGCTTATTAACAACCTGCGGTATGCAGATGACACCACCTTGCTGGCTGACAGTGAGGAAGACGTGGGCACTGGCAGCCTTCAGTATGAATTACAACTCAATGTGAAGAAGGCCCAAATCCTCACAATGAGACCCATAGGTTGCATCATGATAAATGGAGAAAAGTTTGAAGTTGTCAAGGATTTTATCTTGCTTGGCTCCTCAATCAATGCTCTTGGAAGCAGCAGTCAAGAGATCAAAAAATGCGGTTGCAGTGCATTAGGCAAACATACCGCACAGACCTCTTTAAGAGCATTGAAAAGCAAGGATGTTACTTTGAGGACTAAGGTGCGCCTGACCCCAGTCATGGCAGTCTCTATTGCCTCATATGCATGTGAAAGTTGGACATTGGATAGGAAGGCAGCAGAAGAATGGATGTATGTGAATTGTGGTGTTGGAGAAGACTATAAAAAGTACCACGGGCTGCTAACAGGACAAATGAATCTGTCTTGGAAGAAGTAGGCCAGAGTGCACTTTGGAGGCCAGGATGGCAAGACCTCGTTATACATACTTTAGACATATTGTCAGGAGAGACCTGTCCCTTGAGAAGGACATCGTGCTTGGTGAAGTGGAAGGGCAGCGGAAAAAGAGGAAGTCTGTCAAGAAGACAGATTGACACAGTGGCTGCATCGATAGGCTCAGGCACAGTGAGGGTGGTGTAGAGTTGCGCAGTGTTTCCTTCTGTTGTGCATGGTGTCGTTGTGTGTCGGAACCAACTCAGAGGCACCTAACAACAACATAGCCGGGATAAAGTGTAGGTATCTGCTTTTATGAGCCCCCTCTCCCCGCCCCCATTGTTGATAATGCCCCACCCCTCAGGGGCATTATCACCCAATTATCACCCACTTTGGGAAACTGCTCTGATTGCTAGGTCAGTTATATTGTCTGTCAGCAATACGATCCCCACTCAACTTTGGGCCAGAGACGTAAATTGAATAAGGAACTGGGTTTCCTTGCCATTTCCCCCTCCTCCTCTCTCCCTAGCTCTGCTCTGTGATCATCCATCACCACTAATGAGTTGTTTACTACTGTACAAGCAGGTGGACTCAGGGAACAATGAGTAGCCTGGTTAATTAAAATATCAGATTGTCAGACTATCAATCGGTTGTGAGCGAGTTGACGCCAACTCCTAGGAGGCTGTGTGTGTTGGAGTAGGGCTTTCTTCAGTGCCCCAGGTGGACTCCAGGCGCTCTATCTTTTGGGTAGTCACCGGCTGCTTAGCTGTTTGTCCCCCAGGGATTCCGGGACTGGCTACACCGTTCTCGTTCATTTTCACAGGCATGTCTTGCTATTAATGAGAGAGTGTGCCCGGACCTAACTGTGAGGAAGTGCTCGGCCCTTCCTGCTTCCAGGATTCGCAATGAGCAGAAGGTAGTCCAGTCCTAGAATTCTAGAGTGGGGGGGGGCTTCCACGAGGAGTGAGGTCCTGGTAGCGAGGTGTTTCACGTTGGGTTGCGATCAGAGAGGTCAGCACTTTGAAACCACCAGCCACTCCATGAGAGAAAGATGGGGCTTTCTACTCCTGCAAACAGGTTCAGTCTCAGAAACTCACAGGGCAGATCGACCCTGCCCCATATGAGTTGGCATCGACTCCATGACAGGGAGGAGATGAGGATTAGGACAGGCCCAGAGAAGCTGGGGAAGCTGGTGCGGGGGAACGTCCCTGAACCCAGCAGGGGAGTCTTCCTTTTGCCAGTC